GGGTGTGGGTGTGGGTGTGGGGTGTGGGTGTGGATGTGTGGGAAGGCAGAGCCATTACATTTATCAACACCAACACCCACACCCGCCCACACCTACACCCACACCCACACCCACACCCACACCCACCCACACCCTTTGAAAGCAAATGAAACTGAAATCGAAAGATAACGATAAGATTTGTTACAAACAAAGATTCTTTGAAAAATCATCATTTTGTAAATTTTGTAGAAGTGTTAGAAGCAAAAGAAGAATTGAAACAGGCACGTATTCAGAAAGAAAATTGGAGGATCAATCTCCTCCTTCTTGAAAATGAAAATAGATGGGATGAAATAACGGTGGGTGAATTTTCACAAGCGAAAAAATGACAGATTTGTCAAAATATGTGACAGTCTCAGTATCTTCTCGATATCTCTCGCATTTTTCATAATTTCGATCTGCAGTCTTAGTAAAAGATTCAGCGTTCATATTGTTTTTAAAATAGCTGACAATCCATGTGTCATCGGCATCAATTTTAATAAAAGTGGAAATATGTAATTTCATCAACTTTCAAGAACGAAAATAGCTTTCTTGTGTTTAGATATTCTAAAGCCGATCTCGAGGAGTAAATCAAAGTAATTATTTCAGAGAGTATTCAAAGTTCTATCTTACTAGGATGTCTGAAAAGTATTGGAAAAAATTCAAAGAATAAAATGGAAAATACTTTTAAAAATGTCTGCAAGAAAAAAAAATCGTTAATCATATCTTTAATTTTGTTGAAAAAATTCATATTACTCTAATAGGTATTTTTTATGCACGTTTTTTTTTATTTTCAATATACTCTATCATGTTATAGAAATTGACCTTGATCCTGGGCACACTTTAGTTCTGATAGAATAGATTAAGCAGAAAGCCGAAAAAACCTCGATACACATTAATTGTCCAAAAACTGTATGCTCTGTCAAGATTTTAAGTTAAGCTATTCTTTCTTAGATGCCATCAGATGAAGCGTTCATGCTTATGCCAAAGTTATCTGACAAGACAAGCATTTTGGATTTTGTACTAATTTTCAACAGAAATGGAACTAACTCTATCGCTTTTCGGTTTGTGCTAATGTTGACCATTGTTTTCAAAAAGAATTCGAGTTTTTTGCGCGCCCTTCTCAGGAAAATTTCTAGTTTTTGAGACAAAATTTCTTATGAAATAAAATGAAGCAAAGGAGAGCAAAAAGGTCTTAAAAACTTGGAGTTTTTGCTTTAAAAAACTAGGAAAAACTGGATTTTTCGCAGAAATTTTTGTCATAACAGATACAGCTTACAGGTACAGTAGTTTCTTCCATTTTTATATAAAGTGAATACAAAAGAAAGACATATCTGTCTTTCACATGACACTGTTGATAGTTACTTAATGCTTAGAAAAAAAGCTAATTAATTGAAAACGCAATTCT